GTCCATCTTGGGTGGCCCTGCACAGTATAACTCATGGCTTCACTGAGTTACGCAAGCCCCTTCGCCATGACAAGGCAGTGATCCATGAAGGGGGATTCTGAAATACATCTTTCTCATAATCGAAATCTAAAAGCTTCCATCTGAAGATCTTTCAGAATGAGGCCAAGGGTAAAGAGTAAGCCCCTACTGGCACACAGTTTCTATTTTATTTTTGAGGTTGGTGGTTAAGTATCATTACAGTTATTTTACTGAAAAGGATGTTGTTGTGACTTGCTTTTTTTATTAGATGCTTACACAGAATATTGGAATATTAGATGGTGGTATCAGGCACAATTTTGAGCAATCCCTTGCGATTTATCAATCTTTTTTCAGATATGCTTGCTTTATGATTCTGAAAAAGAAGCTCTTAATGCATATTAGATATTTTGGATGGGTGGGAGCTGCCATGGGCCAGCTGTTCAAGAAAATTCATTGGCACCATATAAGTTTTTCAATGAAGTTTTTAAACAGTCTTATATTACAAATTTCATATGTTTCCTGTGTTTTAATAACACATGTAAAAATAATGCTTATAGCTTCTCGTGACCCACAGATCTCATTTCTTTGAGTTCAGTGTTTCTTGCTCTTCAGATAATATAGGATCGGAATGTTGGTTTCCTTTGGCAATATTAAAACAAACATGCAAAACTGTTGCAAGAAGCAACTGATGTTCTCAAGCATGATACTGAGATATGAGGAAAGCAAATGATGGCATCAGAACACAAGCTTCACCTCTATTGTAGTTGCATTTTAATGGATGGAGTTTGCATGAAACATCACACTTGCTTTCTGATTATAACAAAACTGCTGGATTCTGTAGATGTCTTCCCTTCCCTTCCCTTCCCTTCCCTTCCCTTCCCTTCCCTTCCCTTCCCTTCCCTTCCACTCCACTTCCTTTAGAACTCTACAAAATGCCCCAGGTTAAATATGTAAATTGGCTGTGGTCTCCACAGTTAATATGTTTTATGGATTTCTTTTCTTTATTTTCCCAAGAATTGGCATGCATCTTCTTAGTCATTTAAAAAAAATGGAGAATCAGTCTTCCATCTCTGAATTTTTGCTCTCAATAAATTGAGTCTGCAGTGAATTCAAAAAGAATCATTGGGAGAAACAGTAAGGACACACAAAAACAGGAGGGGAAAAAATTAATAAGGGAGCTGTCGTAAAATCTCCTCAGTCCCCTGGAAACCCCAGGTCTGATCACATAGCCAGGTCTTGAGGAGGGGCTTTTGAAACTGCAGCTCATGTCCTGTTCTCCTATACCCTCTATAAGGATCCAAAGACCCTCCTTAAAGCTCCTGACCTGGGAAAACACTCAGGAAATTCTGATTGTTTTATGTACTGTTGATATTAGATCAGTATGATTCAGTCTCTTTGAACGTACCCAAATTTTGTTATACTGTCTGCATAATTAGGCCTATTTCGATTGCCCACTGATAAACCCACCACCAAGTGTTATACTTTTATCCTGTATTGTTTTTAAGGAATTATTATTTCTAAAGTGTTTCTATCGGTAACTCTGGTCTGTGATGGTGATACAGATTCTGCACCCTTGTAGGTTCTCACTGGCTGTGTAATTATAGGCAGCTCCATTAAAAAGGTAAAATGCATTTTGCGTGGTCTAACCCTATGAGATTTTGGTATGCAACTGGAAAGGAAGGAAGAGAAAAAATAGGAATTGCGCTGAAGATATTGACTATTGACATCCATATATAATAGCCTTCATTTGAAATAAATAGGGAAGATACTGCTAGTGAAAGTTTTATATTTCTTCTGCAGTGCTGATTCCTATGTTGTAATCTTGATTAGCCCATCACGAATTTTCTACTACAGTGCTATGGTATTATTTCTATTATGATAAAAACACAAGATTTGGATTAAATTCCGATTCATTCATTCATTCATTCATTCATTCATTCATTCACTCATTCATTCATTCATTTAAAGCAATCTTTAAGAAGATTAGAGGTAAAAGTGTATTCATTTCCCCTGAGTTTCTTATTTTTCTTTCAGAATTTTATGGGAGGTTTTTTCCCAAGTCCACATAAATGGTAATATTAGGCATTTTGGGCATTTCTTAATTTCCTAAAAAAAACAAATAAAAGTTTACATTATTTTCAAATGCATTTCATCAAATCTTTCTCTTAATACAGTATATAGATGATTTACAATTTTTTTCTAAATATTCGAGTTCTAATTTCATTGTTCAGTTGGTGTCTTTAGGACCGCAACTTTGAAGCTGAAAAGTCACATAAAACACCTATATTTTAGTTTAAAATCTTTTCATGGAAATGACTCAAATGTCACATCATCATCTGCATAATCATAATTATTTTATCTTAAGAAAATAAGGGGGGACGCGGTGGCGCAGCGGCTTAATGACGCTGAAAGTTACCGGCCAGAAAGGTTGACCTTTCAGCGGTTCGAGTCCAGCGTTTGCATTAAACAGGGTGAGCTCCTGTTTCCTCCCCAGTTCCTG